CTTGGGGTGGGTTTTCATCTGTCTTAGAAAATTTTGTATCTTCTTTTTGGAGTTCTTCTCATCTGCAAGGACATCTGTGACAGTGATTTTTTTAGGTTTTTTTTTTTTTGACAGGTGATTAAATATCATTAGCTATCATTATCATTAATTAAAACCATTTGTAAATGAAGAAAAGCAAGTTCAGTTTCCCAGTGGGGATATTTTGCATGACAGTTTTGCAAGGCAGTATTTTTTTAATGATCTTTATACAGATAAGGTGAAGTCTGGGAGGACAATGGCTGTGTTGAGCTGAGATTTGTTCCTTGGTGTCTTATTAGAACATGCTTTGCTGCAGGCTCTGCAGATTAATTGGAAGCTGGATCTACTGCTTCAAAGCTTAGCTCAGCTTCTAACACAAGAAGCTGGCATATCTCCTATAGAAGATACTCTCTCTGCTCTCAGTGTTGTTTCTGAACATCTGCTTCCCCATGGCCATTTCCTCCTCCCTTCCTTCCTGGCTGGCTGGTTTGGCTGGGAGAAAGCTGCTGGCTGCCCACTCTGCTTCCAGGGTGGAAGAAATATAAGGCTTCCTGAGGTGTCCCTACAAGTGGATGAGGACTGCTGCAATGCATCTCTCCAGTCCTCCCATCCTCTGCTGGTGTCAGGGCACAGCATAGAAGTACAACAGTGCTGTCAGCTTAAAGTATGCTTTCTGCATTTTTGGAAACCAAGAGGCCGTGGTTACGTGGTGCAGGGGAAAAAATCATATAGGTGTGCTTGTAGAGATTATAGAACCATAGTGTGGCTTGGGCTGGAAGGATCTTAAAGACCATCCATTTCCAAGCCCCTGCCATGAACAGGGCTGCCACCTACTAGACCAGGCTGCCCAGGTTCCCATCCAACCTGGCCTTCCTTCTTTACCTGGGAACACTTGTTGCTGTTGTATGTCTCAGTCTTCGGCTGCAAAAATGAAACTGCACCCTTTTTCTTTAATAAGCAGTCCTCCCTCCATGGTCTGGCTTCCTTTCATGTGTAATACTGAGTCCTCTCTAAGCCTTTTGCTTCAGCACACTGGTTCTGGCCGTTAAATGATACTTGCCCAGGGCACTACATTCTGTTTCCCACATTTCATTTCTGCCCACAAAGAAATTTCTAGTGTGCTATGTTCTTTCTATACTGTCTGTGCCACTTTACATACTACAGTGACACAAAGGGTGTATGAGATTCTGAATAAGTTGAAGGCAAGGTTTACTAAAAAGTAACTTGTTTTGTTTTGAACTTCTTTTGAAGCATGGGCAGGGAACAAACCCAAAGTTTCTTTCTTTTTTTCCCTCCAAATGCAGAGACTAACCTTAGACATGAGTGCTTGGCTTGACACAGCTGTGAAATCTCATTCCCGAGCTGCCATGCTAAAGCTTAATGTGCAATCAATACTTTTGCTAGACTTCTGAAAGTCTCTGCTTCACACGTGGGTCCAGCATGGGTTGGTTGTGACGTTAGCACATGTAAAAGTTTAAGATGCAGCTCAGGAGGAAAGAATGTTCTTAGTTCCAAGTAACTTGCTTCACATATCAGGAGGGAGGGATGCCTGGCTGCTTTAGGAAAGGGTGGTGTTCCTGAGGATAAGAATTTGAATGTGAGTCAAGAGCTGTATGCTATTTAGGAGAAAGCAAATGTCGTGTTCTAGTATATACACAGAAACTGGTCCCATAGGATATGGGAAGCATATAATGCCTTTTTAAGGCCTCAGCAGGAATGCACGACATCTCAGAGGCAGAGCAGGGGGTGGGTGTGCAGAATGGGGTGCAAGAACGATCAGAGCAGTAGAAAACGTGATGAGTGAGGGGCCACTGAAAGTTCAGAGGAGGAAGATGTGAAAATTGTTTCCACAAACATGGGCTTCTGTAGCAAGAAATAACTTGTTCATTGACAGATGGGAGGAGAAATAACAGGCTTAAACCGCAGTAAAGGTAACTTAGGTTAAATGGAAAAAGTAAGTACAGGCATGGCTTGACACTGAAATAGATTGTACAGGCAGGTCATGAAGTCTGCTAGGGAGAATTTTTTAAGGTTCAGCTCAGGCAGTCAGCTGGGGTAATGTAGGCCTGCAGGGTCCTTTTGTGAAGGGAGAGGTGAAGAATTCAGTCTTTTGAATTCTTTTCAATACCTTTCTATTCCCCATTTTTTTCCTGATCCCCTAACATGTCTGTGTGAGTCATACAATAGAAGCATGGTTCAGTAATGCAGCAGATAGCTGGAGCACATGAAATTTAAAAATGCCATCTGAAACTATCTTCTAAAGCAAAGAGTGAGGACTATAAAATTGGGATAGGGGGCTAGTAATGAAAATAAAATTCAAACAATGGAGAAACTAATGAGAAGATATATACCAATTGCTCTGTTTCTCTATAGGCTTTTTGGTCAGAGGAAAGTAAGTGTGGAAGTTTGAGGCTAACAGCATTACCAAGTGTCTGTGAATTTTGATTCTTTTTAAAGGTTTAGCCTGTTAGAAGTGCTTTGCCTGCGTGCAGAATGGAGAGGGAAGAAATGTTCAATTTCTTTAGAGAACTGTCTGCAGAGCACTGCCTTTTTCCTTGAAGGGCAAGAGTTGGTTATGTAGGGAGCGGCTGGTGCTTGATCAGAAAACTCAACAGGTAAATAAAGCAGGAAAGCTGCATAACAGGCTATTGCCTACCAGAAGGCAAAGCAGATGAGAAACATTGGTATGTACCAGGAGGACCAAAAGACAATTACAGGAGAAAAGGTGAAAACCTGTATCTGCCCACGTTTGCACTTAGTTTGAGAGTGTTACTTGAAGTCTGGGGAGCAAGAATGAAAACCTGGAGAGAGCAGGATATAGTCTGAAAGCTGACTCAGAGAAAATACTAATTTTCTTGTATCATTGGATGGAGAAAGATCTGTGAGCACATCACATATTCAGGTAAGTCAGATAGAAACAAGCAATAAAAAGGAATGTTACTGGCAGAAAGATGCACTGGGGGAAAGTGTCAAGACTTTAGATATAAGATAGTGGGAGAACACTAAAATTAGTGAAAATAGATGTGACATCTCTGCTAAATGATGCCACGATGATACCAGCTAGATAACATCTTGTAGCAACTACGCTATGATGCCTAATGTGCTTCTAAATTAAACAGGATAGAGTAAACAGGATAGGGATTAGGACTACTCTTTTTTGGGGTACTGCCAAGGTTCTCTAGCAGACTGGATCTGAGGCTGCTGCCTCAGAGCACTGTTGTGGATGGCTCACCAACCTATAGTGTGTTTGTGCAGAACTGTTAGGTGGCAAGGAGGGCATGGATGTGAAGTTTTCCTCGCCCAACCCCACATCCATCAGAAGTGCAAGAGATAACTGAGTGCCAAGATGAACCTGTGCCCATATCTGCCAGTTGCTGCTAGCCCCAGAAGAGAGTAGATGACTGCATCCTCTTAGCTGGGCCAGCATTTTCAATAGCGATTTGCCCATCAGAGTGCATTGTGTGGGCTTGGATTTCAGTGCACACCTGAACATCAGCTTTGTTGGGTTCTTTGCTTCTTTGAAATAAAGGTCACCCTGTGTTTTACGTGATGAGAGCTCTCCTGTCTGGACAGTCAAAAGATACATCTAGAGAACTTGGTGCAAATTCATAATCATGCCAGAGCTGTTTGGTTCACTCAGTTGCCCAGATCATTCCCATTTCAGCATCGGAGCTACCTTGTGCCCATAGCAATATGAGGAGTCAGTGTAAAGATTCAGTGTGATCTTATTTGTTTTTAAAAGACTGGTGAATAACCTGCTAAACAAACCTGTCAGCCAGTGAAATGAAAGCAATTCCCAAATGCATGGGGCTTTGTGTACTGAAAAATGTTGAATCATAGACCAGAAAAAGCAAGAGATGCACTGAGACTCCAGCCCCAGACTGTTAGTATTTTCATTCTGTGAACAAAACCAGCTCTTTTCCCTGTCAAAAAATGTCACTTTGATCCAAAGAGCTTGAAGGGGAGAGTGCAGGCGAGCTGCTGCAATTAGTATGCAATCTCATTAGCCTGTACCATTTTTCCCCAGTAGGCACTTACTTAATTTGATTATAAGAGTGAAGATACAGTACAGTTTCAAAAGACCTTCCTGGATTATCTGAGCTCACCAAAGCTCTTCACTGTGTATGTGACCCCTATTTGTGTTGTTTCCTTAAGGCAAATAGAGCATCAGAAGTGCCTTTATTGGCAGTCCTTGCAACATGCTGGGAACTTGCCAAGGTGAATACACAAAGCCTTCCCTCCTGCTTTCAAAAAAGTAACCCGCATGAAAGCCTTATTCAATTGCTACCCAGTCAGAAACCTCATGCTGTCAGTTGTTGCTAAGAAGGCAGTCATTACTAATGATGCACTGAGTTGCAAGCTTCGGCATAGCCTTGGAAATGATGCAGATGTGTGTGTGTCCAGATGACTTGTTAATTTTGCTTTGAATCAGTAAGTAGTCTGCAGAAAACATATGTAGCGAGTAGCTAGGTGTAATTCATTCTTTGCTCCTTTAATTATTCTGTTTGTCTTTATTCCATGGTGTCAGGTTTTTAGCTACTGTTGGCAACAGAAGCAAACTGAATGCTTATGTGGGTTGAGAGATAATTTTGTTAGTATTTTTCAAATGGACAGGGGCTTCTGGGCTTTTTTTTGGGGGGGTAGAAGGGGGGGGATGGGGAATGAATTGATTTACTGCAACTGTTGCCTAATGCAGTATTGCAGAATTAGTTAAAACATTATAAATGTTTTAAACACTTTATGAGGGGACTATTTCCAAGTCATTTGCAGTGTCTGTGTAAAATTATGTCAACCTTTTTTTTTTTTTTTTGATTGCTGGCATATTTCTAGGCATTCCTCATCATTTCAGACAATAAACTGAAACAGCATCCATTGAAACTACTGCAGAAAAGTAGTTGTGTCACGTGACACATCTGAGGTAGAGATGATCAGTTAAAATGTCAGTGCCTCCATTTCTCCATACATTGCAGATTGACAACTTAGTCTCCCGAGTAAACTTTCACAACAACAACAACAAAAGGTATTTACCAGAGATGCAATCCCTTTTGGACCAAGCGCTATCCTGTGTGCTGTTACCTGTGAAACCTTTTCTTTCCAATGGGATCTTTCTCCATTTCTTCCCAAGTCCTGTATTTTTCATGGAGCCTTTTCACCATTATTCTGTAGCCCTAAACAGTCACAGACTTTATAAAGTCATTTGAGGACTGTTCTTTGCTTTTCTCTTCTGACAGTTTCACATTAAAAGAATTATTGTTTGTTACCTGACTTTTTTCCTATTGGAGGTGAAACTACAAATTCCTGCAGAACAAATTTTGATGTTTTTGAGAGTCGTACTCCATAGTTCGGTTAGAATTTGACTTGATGTAAGACTCTAGCAGAGCTTGTGCAGCGTGCAAAATCAAAAAGAATTCTGACATTAAAGTCATGTCAAATAAGCAGAGGAGTCCTTTTTCCTCACCCTGTGACACTTCTGTTAACAGAAAAGTGTGAAAGTCATTAAAAATTTTATTTGCAAATAAAAACAACATATTTTTTCCTCGAGGAAATTTGCACTCTCTTCTCTCCAAAAGTACCGTTTATCCTTCTGTTTCCCACTCTAACTAGAACCGAATTTATTTTGTAGCTATCCCTTGAACAACAGTGATCTGCACCAGTTCAACATTGAGGAGAATGGCGGAGCACCATATGCTGCAAAAATGCCTGCGAGGCACCACCACCACCACCGCCATCACCACCACCACGCCAACTACGGCGCCCTTGCTCCCGACAGCAAAGACATTGTTTCTGGAGTTCCAAACCCAAATAGTAAGTCTACTGCTGTCAGTGTTGTGTCAGTAGCTGTGCTGGTTTCAGCTTTGTCTCTGGCAAGGAGGCAAAGGAAAGGAGAACATCACACGTTTCATTTTTCCTCTGTGAAGAATATATTTCCTGTTATTATTTTCTAGCTCAGTACTATGTGCAAATGAGACAAGATGTACAGTTTCTTGGCTTTGCTATGAGACTGTGGGATTTGGTGCTAGATTGGTGTTCTGCAGCTGAACAAATATCCAATTAGTCAGAGATACTGAATCTCTAGCTACTTGGCACAGGCTATTTTTTCATTGTTACTATTTATTTCTATAATATGAGAAACCTATCCTCATCTGCCTTTCGTTTGCTGATATGCCCAGCTGGCCTTCAGCCCTCGTTGTTTGGATCTGGCTCTTGCTTTCATGTCTGGGCACAAGCTGCAGAAATGTTGGAGCACTGGACAAACACCATTGTGCTCTCTGTTTTTGTACTGGGGTCCACAGCTGTGGAGGAGGAGTAGCTGAAAAAATATTGCACTGAGGCTGAGTCCAGTCCAGTGCAAGAGGCTCTCTTGGCTCTTTAAGAAAACTTCTGCAAATGCCATAGTTTTTAGTAAGAGCGGCAAAGATGCATTCCCATTCGCAGGCTTCCCGAATTCCAGGGAGAAAAAACAAAAGCTCAGAAATACCTGAGAAGCTATGTAAAAAAGAACTGTTCCACATTGGAAAAAGGACATTGAGAGATGTCTATCAGAAGCACTCTTTTCATGCCTAGGGGTTTACCGTCTTCTGCAGCACTGGTGCTCTTCCTTCTTGAGACAAGTGATGCCTTTCTCTGCGGTGTGTAGGAAGGGCTCGCTTTGCTGTACTGGCTTTGGTCCCAGTGGTTGGCATCACCTTGGCTGGCAGTAGTGTGGATGATTCCCACTCGGCCCCAGCTGCCACCACTGGAGTACGCTCACTTGCTCTGTGGAGAAATTCTGGGCATGTAGAAAGCAAAGAGGAGAGAAACTCACTTGTTTCTGATATAGCCTTGGGGAGTTCAGACATACGTCTCGGCTGCTGTATGTGTACAGGCTTGTAAAAGGTGCATAGCTTGGCCAGGTGTCTGTAGGTTTACACAAAAACTTGAAGAAAAACATCCCTGCCATTGAGCAATCCTGTTTCTTGCACTCCAAATTTATAGTCTTGGCACTCTGCAATGCGTGAGATGCTGGAACTGTATAAGAATTTCAGAAGATGGACAAAACAAGGTGTGACCTACTATTTTCCTTACTTCAGGAGCATGCTAAGTTTTTCCTTTGTCCATATTTTGGCTTTGTGCATCACTCTGAGAGGCATCTCTTAGGGAAACTTTCAGCCTGTAGCCAGGATCTCACCGTGGACAGTGCTGGGTGCTCTTGGCTCCTGGCTTTCCTCTCTCAGCAGCTATGCATAGGCACCTGTCAGTGCAGAAGTTTTATTCAAACGTTGTGTCAGAAACCTGGAAACCTTTTCTTTAGTTTTCTTTCCCAAAGAGAGGGAGATAAAAATTTTAAGCATGAGAAACAAAAGCAAGGCATTGCAAGTGTTTGAAGAACGAGTTCCAAGCAGCAATATGAATTGCATGCTGGAACTTTAAAAGAATATACTCCCTTAGCAGCAATCTGCAGAAGCTCTGTTATACTCCTCTGTGTTTATGCATTGAATGCTCTACATTAGAGGATTTGCAGAAGGGGAAATGCTGCTGTGGCACTGCTGCGGTGGGGCTGCCAATGGGAAAGGGGTGCTGCCTGCTTTATGAAGTGGGGCCAAAGACTGCATGCAGCATGTCAGCTTGGTGCTGCAAGAGCCAGAAGCCTTCCCATGGCTCTGTGCCAGCCTCTATTTTTTATTTCCCAAATTAGAGGTGAACCGTGCCAGTGGAAATGTAGCCAGTGCTGCTGAGGGCCTGGGCCCTGAGGACACTGTAATCCTGAATGTCCCATCCACAGGGCTCACCCACAGCTCAGGCCCCTACACTTCTCAGAGGCCATCACCCTCCACCCCAGCAGTGCTGCAGCAGCGCCACGCTCCAATTCCTACAGCTCTGCTTTACTGGAAAGGTAATAATTTTACTAATGCTTCCTGCACCCGGGATGCTACTCTGGCACAGAGGCCAGGCTCAGCATGCTCTGCCCAGCAGCTGCTGTACTCCCAGAGCAGCCCGAATTTCGATCTCCCTGAGGAAACACAAAGGAACATGAGTGCCTCCTGCAGAGGGACTGTGGTGCCAGTTTGTAAGCTGGCTGTCCTGACTGCCAGCCAGCCACCTCAAGGCAGACCACATCACGGTTCCCCACAGCCCTGTACCAATGCACTCTGCCTATCACACAGCTCATTTCCCCCAAAAGGGTGCCCTTCATGAGAACAGGCATGCTCAGGCTGCTGCTTTTGCTTTTGGAGTGATGATGGTGTAGATAGGACCACCACCCTAAAAACCCTGGATCAAAGCTATTCCTATGTGCATTGGGGTGGCAGCTCCATTTGGAGGTGAACTTCCATCACCTTGGCTGTCAGCCACCTCTCTGGGACTGCACATACGGCACTGTGGGACCAGAAACACCCAAGCTGGGAGACGAGATGCTTTCAGAGGTCTGGATAAGGACTGTGGGGACGTGGAAGCTTGTGTCTGGTTGAAGGCTGTATGAAAGATTCCCGACTGGGAAAGTGTTTCTAGGAAGTATGTGGTCACTAGCCTGAGAACACTCTTGGGAAGAGGGTGCTTGTGACCAAAATACCTCAAGTGGGCATGCTTGGAGGGCCAGAAGATCCACGTGAAGAATATGCTAGCCAAATGAAAACCTCCCTTTGAGGCTGACAGTGGTGAGGCTGTGTGTGTCAGCTTGACTACCTGATGGTTTTCCAGGGGACCTTGAGCATTTTGTTAGCTGTTCCAGATCCTACAGGACAGACCCGTCTCTGAGCTTAGAGGTGATTTTAATCTTATGCGAAGTAGAACTTGAAGTGACCCACCCGTCACTTAGCATGTGATAGCATGTGATAGAGAGAGGGGAAAAGATGCCTGGATTTTCTCCTCATAGATATGATGGGATAAATTACAAAATTTCAGTGCCAACTCACAGGGCACAGGAAGGAGAGGTGCAAATGCTGGTGTGCCCAGACAAGGTTCCCTTTAAAATGCTGCTGCATGTTTCACAGCAAGTACATATCCTGGGACTTTGTTACAGGAAACAAACACAGGGTAGATCTGCCTGATTTTTTACATTCCAAGTCATTTGTCTACTTTGATTACTGGGAGAAGTGAAATTCGGTGAAATAAATCTGGCGTGTGTTTGCAAAGGCAATTCAGCAGAAGATGTTTTCCTGCATTCTGCCTAATTATGGTATTTGCAGTGCTGCCCTTCACCTTAAAGCTTGAACACACAGATTCTATCTTCTCATGCAGCAGATCTTGCCCCAGCTATTCTCTCAGTCACTGTACCAGAGACCACTGTGCTCAGCAGCAGCCAGCCTTGCAATGCCAGCACTGCTCACTGAGCCTATCTGGGATGGCAACATTGTACATGGATTATCATGTGCACGTGAGCAAACCGAATGGCAGCAGCTGGGGCTGTCACAGAAAACAGCTGCCAACAAGCTCATCATGTTAGCCCACGCAATTTTTATGGCAGAAAATGACAAATTGGAAGAAGGGGCTCAGCTTGCCTCTCAGGCTCTAGGCTGAGCTTGCAGGTTGTCACCTAAAAAAAAAAAAAAAGACATCCTTTATTCCTGACCTGCTTGATGAAAAAGTCCTTGTGTAACCATGACAAAAGGAGGGTGTAATACAAACTAAATTTCAGGCTAGAATGTTGCTTTGTAAAAAATACAGTCCTGCCAGATCATTGCTTGAAAGGAAAGCCTGGTTTGCCAAGACTTAATGCTGACTCAGTAAGTGTATGCCAATTTTTTTGCCTTTTATTGATATATATATCTTTTATCTGTTTGCAAGGTTGAGTCAAAAGGCTAAAATAGCTTGCTTGGCTTCTGAAGCTATCCCTGTTTAAAAAAAAAAAAAGCAAAAAAAAAAAAAAATCTAAAAAGTCACTGCAAAAGTGAATACTTTAAGTAATGCACTTTTCCCCTCTATGTTCCTTCTTGACATGCAATAAAATGTCCACGTTTCTTTAAAAAAGAATCATCATGTAGTCTTATCTGATGGCTGGGGTAACTCTTTCAGTGGTATGATCAGGCAGATTACAGTTTTATATCTGTGGAAGCAACCGTAATATCAGAAATGCTGAACTCTGCTTTCATCAGCTTTTGATGAGAGACCACCAATAGAAGGTCAATGCTGATGTCATAACCCCTTCTAAGCCACCGTTACCACTGACTATGTTTCACCAGTACCAAGACAACTTTTTGCTTATATTCCTCTAAACTGGCATTAGCAGTTTGTCTCTAGTCAGCAAAGTCCTTAATGTATATTTAAACAGCTGTAGAATTAGATCTTGAGTGAGCAATATTTAATATTCTTAGGATAGCTTAAGAAAGTGATCCAAACGGAACTGCAGGCAGTGCAAAGTTTTTATTTATTTCACTGGGCTTTGAATCAGACTCCAGAGACTACTGAATTGTTCCTAACTATTATTGCCTAGAATCTGTAGCAAAAAGAAATACAGGAAGAGGTGAGGATTCATTAAATCATTGTGTAATGAAGCTCTCATTTTTCTCAGAATACTTGCAAACACATATATGCCACACCATCCCGAGGATGTTGGTGGAGTCCTTTCAAGAGTGTCACAAAAGTATTTTACCTCGTCTTTCTTTGTCAGTGCTCAAAATCTTGTCTTTTGTCTTTCCTCTAAATCTCTGTTGACAAAGCACAGCAAATTCCTGACAGCAGTCTTAAAGAGACTGACATATAAATAAAGATATCTGAGAGGAGCCAAAAGCTATACTCTGATCTCTGTATACATCACATGTTCTGAGAGAGGCTCCTTGGCCGCATAAATAAGTTCTCTGGTGTCAATGGGGTTGACATCAGTATCAACT